GGAATGACTGGGGTTAATCTCTATAATAACATCCCATACTACACTGCTCTCTGCAATATGGACTTAGTAGGTTTAGGCGGGTTTAAACTAGTGGTAGGATTCCCCCCCCTGCGGAAAGTCCCACCTAACGTGTGGACACATCTCCGGGTGTTTAAATGAACGCATAGTTGGGTTATAGTGGTTAGCGTAGCTAGTCTTATAGCAATATATGTACTAATGCAGTGTTAATCTACAGATTAACTGTAGAGACATAACGGGTATCCTGTACCAACCGATTTCCGGTTAATTTGTAGAGACACTTGGTGTCTATCTGGATATTATATGTATCAATAAAGATTACATGCCTTGCGCAACGTTCCACTCTAAAAAAAAAAAAAAAAAAAAAAGTAAACTATAGAATTTATAAGTAAAAAATCAATTATTTCCTCAAAAGAATCCTCAAACAGGCTTGTTGTCTTATTTTTCAGGCTCTTTATTAATATAATATATATAATATTGTTTATTGTTATAGTTTTTAATAATAATGTAATTGATATTGTTGTTGTAATACAAAACTACTTTAAATAGATTTGATTTTGTTTTGATTTTTAAATGAAACCTAATTGGATTATTGGAGAGTATTAATCATCTGGAAGGGATAAACTGATTTCAGTTTTTTGGTTAAGTAAAAATATTGAAAAATTTGTAATAACACAACAAGTGGACCATAATATAGTTAAATTAGAGAGTTAACTTGAAACAAACAATAGACTTACCAATTCTATTTAAGTATATGTTTTGGAAAGTATTTGGTTTAGTGAATATAATAGTAATAATATGGATAGTTTTTATGATAGAATAAGGTTAAGAAGAGGTGCAAGAGAACAAAAGAATAAAGAATTGTTAATAGTCTTTTTTTATGCAACTGAAGGATAAACAAGACTCTCAAACTTGAATAGATTTGAACCAAAGATTCCATCTTACTATACCAGTTGTTTTGAAGATTTTTAAGTTTCTAAGCTGGGGTTCACTTGTGATAAAGAATATAAAACATTTTTTCTTGTTTAAAATTACCATAAAAAATTTTTAACAAAATAAATGTGATCAAAAGAGAGTTTAATTGTCTACTTTTTTGAACAGATATTTAAGTATACTTGAAATAAATTATAATAGTAATTTTTTTATAATATAACTCAAACAATATAATAAATAAATTGATCCGCTAATTTAATATCAAAAAAATATAATTATTAGATTTACTGTATCTATTTTTTAAGTTAAGAATAAAATTTATCGATTTATTTAAATTATTTTTATAATGACTATGAAGCCAAAATATTTTTAAACATGAATATTGAATATTTTTCCTGTTTTTTTGAATGGGATTGCATATAGGTAGTAATTATTATTATAAATTAATAAATAATATCTATTCTTAATACTTATAAGTTCATCAATTTAAAGAATAATAATATACTTATTATCAAAAACCAAGATAGAGGAATTAATTTTTAATAAAATTCAAAACTTAACGCAATTTGAGATAAATATTAGATTTGAAAAATTTTATTAATACGTGTATTCTAACAAAATTACTATAAAGAATAGGTATAACATTTTATTAATGCATTATAAATAAAATTAGAAAACTAATAGAAGTATCTATTTCAGTTGCCATGGATAAGGCAATCAATCGAGTTTATATAGTAAAATGCAGTATAGGTGTTTACCACAAGATGTAAAATCACATGATTGTAATGATAAATTGTAGAATATCAAGGTAGTATTAAATCAAATGTCTCGGGGATCTCAATAGATTGTTACTGAATAAACCAAAATAAAAATACTTTAAAACCAATTGTAACAAAAAAAATCCGTATTTGCAATAAATATTATTTACATTTGCCTATTATTTTCATTCTTTGGTATTCTATAAATTTCCACTTATCATTTTTCCCGCCTAAATTCACGCTTAATTTTTTCACCACGAAAAAATGACGTAACACATTAGTATTTTCGGATTTAGACAGTTCAAATAAATAACATTGCATATTAATTAATAGATTTAGATTATTTAAAACATTAAATTAAGATTGATGAAATTTATAAAATTTTATTTTGGTTTATTATATAACATCATAAAATTTAAAGGTCTTTAATAAAATATTAGTGATTTTTACACCCAATTTTGAAATTCCGAATTTAGTAAACACCGAATTTGTAATGTATCCAATTTTAGATAATTGCGTGACAGAAATGTTGACCTGTACAGTAACAAGATTTAAACCCGTTTAATTTTTAATTTGATTGTTTATTTATTTATTACAGCATATACTAAAAAACGGAAACTACTGTTGAGTCCGAAGCCCAACATTATCATTAATATGCAAAAAATTTTATGGTCTTACGCTTCGCTTCGGACTAACAACGAGTATCTTCCGCGGTAAACGCAGGGTGTAACCTTCGGGTGATTTAATTAGTTACTTTTATGTTACGCCGAACTTCGGATAATCAAACTTTTGGATTACGTGTACTGTAAATATTACTTACATCAAGTTCGTTTATCTCCTTGACCTTCAAGGCATAATTAATTCATTAGAAAACCTGGAAACAAAAAAACATACTATGAAGCCAAACCCTCCTTCAAATCTTGCCAGTAAAAAAACACAAATTTTTTTTCTTTTGATTTTGGTTTGTCTTTCTCAGATTAAGGCTGGTTCTCAGTTTCAAATGTGTTTGGGAAATGCGTATAATCGCTATGACAAGTTCTTGACTTTTGCTAATAACACAGTCAACAAACAATTGATGTGTTGTACTGCCTGTTCATTAGAGTGTGTTACTGCTCACGAGTGCCCCTCTGCATCTTTCGGGTGCGGTATCAATGACTATGGATATTTTCAGGCCGAATGTAACAAAATAGGGAAAGGAACCTTTTGCATTACCACTGGTTACAGCAACGGTCCAACTGTTATCCCAGGTTCGATATGTGGGGGAATTTTAGGCAACACATTACCAGTAAACGCTCTGCTTGGATCGTGTCCTAATCTAGATGCAGTAAGACAAACGCTAAACGGATCAAAAACTTCGCAAAATTTTACTTGGATGTGTTGTGGCAGTGATGGTTGCTCAGTTCCTAGTAACGTTTTAGTTGATAAAAATGTTGCTAGTACTAATTGTGCTTATGGTCAATATAGTATGATGTGTTTTAATGATAATGGTGGTTGGAGTTGCACCGGAAGCGTTGCAGTGAATATTGATGACATTACGGTTCCTATTGGAGATTGTGTAATGCAAATAACCAGTCCTAACATCGAAACTATTTCCTCTAGTGCTAATTTACCAGTAGCAGCAACCACTACCAATATTGATGGAACTAAGAAAGTCACTTGTAACAGCAATCCTACTTCAACAAATTTATCACCAGAAATCAATGGAAATGAAAAAAATTCTTCGGGTGATAAAGTCAATAGCATTGCCATTGTTTTTGGAGTAATTATTTTTATTTTAACTATCCTTGGTTTATACTTAGCTTACAGACAGTATATATTACACAAAGAAATTAAAAAATTGGCATCTACAAACAGGGAACTAGCGAGTGAAATTAAGCAGTTAGGTAGTTATAATAACAATAGAGAGGATAAAAATAAAAATAGTAATTAACAAATGGTATATTGGTTTCTAATAAAGCTATGATATCAAACAAAAATATCCCAATGTAATCGTTATAACACTTCATTTTCCTGGTGTCAATCATGGGATCCTTTTAAAATACACCTTCTCCCAAAAAGAATGCAACACCTGATCGGCGATCTTTAAATGCTAAAATTTTAAGTAGGATAAATCAGATTAATATGAAATTTATACTATAGATAGAATATAAGTATGCTTAAATAATGTATAAATTAAAATAGATATTAAATTAATAAAAAAAATCTTAGGATAAATTTTAAAAAATTTACTGTTGTAATATTTTTGAAGTTTTTTAAAAAAAATAAAAAAATTTATTTATTTATAAAAAATACATACATATAATTATAAAAATATATTTGATTTCTATTACTATCTTGTATAATCACCTTTTGCCTTAATAATATCATTAATTCTTTTAGGCATTGTTTCTATATATTCCTTACAAGTTTTTTCAGATGTTTCATTCCAAATATTCAATAAATTATCCCAGAGAGTTTCTTTATCATTAATATTAATCTCTAAATCATTAACTCTTCTTTTCACATTATTCCAGATATTTTCTATTGGATTTAAATCTGAAGATTTTGATGGCCAAGAAATAGTTCTAATTTTATTATTTTTTAACTATCTTTAAACTATTTTAGCCTTATGTTTAGAATCATTATTATATTGAAATATAATATCTTTGGAAACTAAATTATAATATCTTAATAAATACATTAATTCTTCTTTCAAAATTTGTCTATAAAGTTCTGTATTAAGATTTTCTTCAATCCTAGATAAATATTCTGTATCATAATAAGCAAAACATCTCCAAATATTAATACTATCTTTATTAAATTTAATTGTAGGAATTATATGTTAATCCTTTAAAGGTTCTATAGATTTTCTTCAGCAATATTTGCATCCTTCAGCTCCAAAAAGTTGAAATTTAGTTTTATCAGACCAGACCATCATACTCCAATCTTCTATAGTTTAATTTCTATGTAATTTTGCAAATTCTAATCAGATTTTTTTGTGTTTTACTTAAAAAAGGTTTCTTGCACCATATACTGTATAAGCTTTAAATCCATTTTTCTTAAAAATTCTTTAAATTGTGTTGACACTAATATTTATTTTTTTATATTTTTTTAAGGATCTATATATATCCATAGCTGTTTTGCATTCTTCTTTTAGAATTTTTCAAATAATAATACGTTTCTCACATAGAGTAAGTTTAGGTATATGATCAGGAATAGGTTTATTTTCTAATTTGTTTGTTTCAAGATATTTTTTTTTAAGTCTAAATATAGTGGAATAATGAACATTGTTATTAATTTTAAAAGCAACCTGACATAAATTATAATCTTCTTCTAATAAGGTAATAACCTTTGCCCTTTTCTCTATTAATAACTGTCTTGAGAACATTTGATTTATACAAGGTTTGAGTAAACTTTTGCATTTTTATATTTTTATCCAAAAACACCAAAAGTTGCGCAACAGTAAATTTTTATTAATTGCATCATAAAAATTTTTTTTATTATTTTAATCACTATTCTACCATATATATTGAATAAATTAAACTATACACTGTATATACTATTAATTTCACTGTAATTTGATCTGATCAAAATTTTAACACTTAAAGATCAACGATCAGGTGTTGCGTTCTTTTTGAGAGACAGTGTATATACAATTTTTTTTTTTTGCAAATAGGCATTAAATGTGAGACTTTTTATTAAATGAAAGTTTATAGCTATTACGTTAAAAATCTTTACATAAGTAAGTTAATCCTAACCTATTGCAACTTTTCTAATCCAAATATTAACTTATATCAAGGAGGTGGGTTCATACTCAAGCATAAACTACAGAGAGCTTTTTTGTTTTTTGCTTGTATTGATCATTACTAGAGTCCCCTATTACTTTACCCTACAACTCACTGTGAATGGGAAAGGTATAATGAGGGATGGATGCGTAATGTGATTCGCACGTCGCGTATCTAAAATCCAGATATGTGATGTTGAAAATGGAGTAGTTTAGACGATAGTTTATTAATAAGCTTAAAAAGTCTAAATCTGTGACGTCAGCGATAGTCTATTCTAGCATAGCATTAGGTTATAAAAGAACAATGTACTCATGTAAAAGAGAGGAGTGAAAAAACGAACTAAAAAAAAAAATAAAACAAGAAAAACGAAACACCTAAAAAGTATCGTACTCTATAGTGAGACAACTAATTAAAAATTGCTAAATTAGTAGTGCGATCGACGACGCCAAAGAAGGGAATTTCCAATTAATAAACTTACCTCGTTTAGTACTACTAGCTTGGAAAGAGGATAATCCGAAGGGCCACGAAGGAACGGTGGCAAAAGATTATCAGTAAAAGCACAAGGATGAGAAACAAGAGGAACATTAGTTAAAAGAAAACCCAGCCAAGTCAAATCACACGCCTCGACTAAAGAAACCTACCCACCTGAACATTACGCGAGTGCTGGTCTAAGAAGCGACAGACTCGCCGAAAATCATGTTCACAGTATCTGTTTGGATATTAAATGTGCTAATAAAGATCACATGCTGTGCGCACGTTTCACTTTAAAAAAAAAAATAGTTTTTAAATATTATAAATGCAGTATATATTATAAATTACCTGTTTTAATTTATCGGCAATTTCTTTTAAAGCTTTTGTACACTTAAATTAATAATATGGACAAAACATCAGAAATGGTTTGTTTCAGTTGTAAATGAAATAGCTTGATTTCTACTCCATTTTTCTATTGCAGTAGCAAATGTTAAATTGTTATTGGCTTTATCAGTTATAATATTTATTATATTTTAATTTAATAAATATATATATATATATATATATACAGTATATATATATATTTTTAAATTGTGAATAAGCTTACTCTAATTTATTAATTTTTTTTTTTAATCGTAAAAGGGCATTAGATACAAAACTTTATTGATATATAAGATTATACTCAAGTTATATCAAATATCTTTACATATAGTATTATATAAATTAATGTTAACCTATCTACGATGCTAACTATCACTATTCTTGGCACATTTAATGTACTTTAGATTAGTTCTAGTGCTGGATAGTTAATGCCCTTCCAGAGCTGATACAAGTGCTTGTGTTTTGAGCGGATTGCTGCTTGGGTCTGTTTAAGGGTTCATTGTTTTTATAATTAATTCTATCAGAGACAACTCCTCTGATAAGTTCTGTTGTGTTGTGTGGTGATTCTGTTGTTGAATGTTGTTATGTGAGGATAGCTGTTCCATTTTATTCCTAAAGCTATCAAGGTGTTGACTATTGCCGACCTGGGTACCCAGATCAATGTATAGAGTAGTGCTAGAACTTTGTTTGCAAATTTGGCTTGGCTTTTTGCTAATAGGTGAAGATTTATTTCTGTCATTCTATTCATGACTTTATTCAGTTCTGACCTTTTTCTGAGGGTAAGTCTTTGTATTTGGTTGTTTGCATCATCTGATTTCTTTTTTGGACTGCTTTTATTTGAAAGCTTCAATAAGCTTTTTTTAAGCTTGATTTCGATTTCTTTGTAAGCTGGTATACTTTTGTAGCACTCAAAGATATGTATCTGGGTCTCTGTTTCGGTGAGGCATCTGGAGCACAGACTATCTTCATATTTATTGGGATATCTTTCATGAAGAAGATATCTGGTAGGAAGTGTTCCACTGATCATTTTTGCCCTAAAGGCTAGTAACGAGGAGTAGTTTATCTTGTCTTTTTTGATGAGAAGCTTGTTCGCTTTTGTTAAAGTTTGAAGATTAGATATTTTTATACTGGTGTTTCATCTTTTTCCAATTGAAGCGCTATTTATAATGTTGGTGAGTCTAAAAATATGTTGCACTTTTTTGATCCATATTACGGAACTGTAACTCCACTTGTTTTTAATTATTGGTCCAGTAGTATAGTCTGTTGGCTCTATTATGTTGTCGATTCCTATAATTGATTCAATGTCTTGCTGTTCTAGGGAAGTTGGATTCTTTTTCAACCTTAGCTTGATATTTTTCTGGCTACAGATGGTATTAATACTTTCGATTAGAAAACTGTGTGGTGTTTTGACTCTTTGGTCAGAGTATTCTGGCACTTTCAACTCAATTTTCTTGGGCATGTTAATTAAGATATATGATTGGTCATTTGCTGCTTCTACCAGGCCAAGAATTCCTAGGAGAGTATTGATTAATTGCAGGTTATTGGAGTGGAATGCCATACTTGTATTGTGTCCATATATTTCTAAAAGCTTTTCTTTTGCCACTAGATCAAATTGGGAGAATAGGCGATCTAGATTGATGACCTGTTTGATATCTTCTATTGTGTTGGAGTTTAAGCAAATCTCTGGTCCCTTGTTTTCTCGAAAGCTGATTTCTACTGTTAAATTTATTGTTGGAATTGTTTTGTGCTATAGCTGAAACCAGATCTCTTCTGTGGCATTGGTCAGGTAATACTCGTTATTGGTCTTGTATGTTCAAAGGGATATTGCTTCCTTTATTGGTACATTTATTTGATATGTGCTGCCATGGCAATGGCACTTCCTGAGAGTTTTGTCAGCCTTCAGTTTGTAATGCCTGCCTTTGATAAGAGATTGCATACTATTGCAATTAATTCTTGCCTTAATAAAGCTCAGTTGGTTGTTATGAATATGGGCTCAGAATCTGGCTCTTGTATTGGAAATGCATATTAAGGTGTCTTTATATCCAGGTGTGATGTTGATATTGGTGAACCAACTGGGAATAGGTTCTTTTGGGGTTGGGCGGAAGTGTGTATTGAACTCATGCCAGAACAGTTTGTTGTTTGTTCTGAATACTAGTAAGTCCTCAAGGAATCTTATGTTGCCTTTGTACAAGCCAAAGGGCTTGACACCTCAGGTACTTGTTTCTAAAGGAGAAGTGCAGCTCTAGGGATTGC